ACAAATGCACGGAGTCTCCACCGGCAGGCCCTCGCTGAGCTGCCTTAGTCAAAACACAACCTCGGCCTGTAGCTTAATTCAAAGGTTGATTGACTAACAAATACCTGCTGCTTGTTCCTCGGCGTTACAGAGAGCGGCCTGTGATGCAGCGCTGCCATGGAGTTTGAATTAAAAAGACATGAAAAAAAAAAAAAAAAAAGGTTAAAAAGAAAACTCAAAATTTCGAGACATTGAGTTGGTTTGATTTTTCTCCATTGCGGTGCATCTTAATGGTGGCTTTAAGAAAATCAGGAAACTGTTTTTTTTTTTCTCCATGTTCTACAGTCCCTTGACAATTCTGCCAGTCAGCTCCCAAACTTACTTACTTACTGCTCTGCATTTGGTGAAGCTGGCCAGATGTACGCCTGGTGTCTCAACAAGTTGAAGATATGGCAAACACATGCCGCTCTCAGAGATGATATTTTTAACTCCAGCTGCTTACGTTTACATTTATGCATTTAGCAGATGCTTCTATCCAAGAGAGGGGAGCGATTTACAACAGGGGAATTAACAACCAAGTATGTGGTTCCTTCCGGGTATCAAACCCATGACTCGCTGCTCTGTCTGCTTCCAAGGCAGGCGTGCTAACGGCTACACTACGGAACCACAGCTTCGGTGAAATCCAAATGTGTATGAATTTTGTGTAAAGATTAATATATGCTATGTCACAGCATAGATAAATGAATAATGTAGGTAACAAATATTATCAGTAACTTACTATAATCCTGAGGATTCCGTGTGGGTTGAGGAGCTTTGTTTGTAGAGACAGCTGCAAAAAAAAAAAAAAAACATTATTTTTATAAAATTCACAATAAAGGGTTTTTTTTTAAAAATATTTTAAGGCGCCGTACTTCTCTACCTTCTTCCTTCTGATTTGTAAAACACGTAAGCGTTTTTTTTTGGTAAAAATAGCTAAGACCTTGTTTACACGGCTGCGATGTGGCTCCAGATCACGGAGCCAGACATGTATCAGGTTCCCAATAGTAATTCAATTTGCGGGGGTGTGGGTCGGAGAGGGGGGTGTGATAATATTTCTGTCCCCAAGGGGGCGGGCGTGACAAATTAAATTGAGAACCACTGCATTAGACGAGTGTTAGGGTGTGTCCATTGTATAACGGGTCCCAGAGTAGAGCGGTTTGTTAGCCCTACCGTTCTGTCACCTTTTAGCCCAGTAGCCCTGCTCAACCGATACAACAAGTTTGGAAACTCCTGCTCCTTCTTGTTGTGCTGGAGAAGCTCATTCAACTATTTGGTGTTGCTAACTGTAGCACTATTTGGTGTGCTGCATTGTTTTTTAAAGGATGTTTAAAGTTTGCCAGCTTTTTCCGGTTCGAAAGGGGCAGCTGTGGCATGGTGGTTAAGGAAGAAGACTTGGGTCCGGAAAGGTTTCGGGAGTCCACCAATCTGCCACCACTGAGGTACTCTGTGTTATTAGTGTAATGCCCCAGTGATGGATCACACGGATGATATTTAAAATTGCTGACTCGAATAAGTCAAAAGTTTAGATCTGAATCAGTTACACATGACACGTCAGGCGTGGTGATGGCCTCTTCTGAGGTATAGAGATATGACAAAGAACAGAAAGTAATGTTGACCTTGAGAAAAACATTATCTTTTTTTTTTCTAAAGAAATCCCTAGCCCTTTGATGCATGACCCATGATATACTGAGTTAAAAAAATGTTACTCAAAAATGTGTTTTTAGACATAAAAATAAGAACTGATTTGGTTCTGTTTTTATACACCAAATTTTCTTTTTGAATGTTGACACAATTATTCTGCCGTTGCAAAGGCTGACCACTGTATGGTAGTGTTGAGTGATTCTCAGGCGTCCACTGTAGAGGCTTATATGCAACACTGCCATCAAAACCTATTCTTATCATAGAAAATGACATTTTCATAGCTGTCCACTGTAGTGACCGTCATGCATGAAAGGGCTAGTTAAAACAAGGTAACCCAATATAAGCAAATAAAAAAGATAAAGGTTGGTCCAAAAATTTCTGAAAGCAAAATCAACGTAGCATAAATTGCAATTGCGTACCGTATTTACGATGAGTTGCACTTTTTTTCCATCCTTTGGCTGGGTTTGCGACTTATACTCAGGTGAGACTTTTTATATTGAAACAATTACAACCAGACGATATAGTCTCCCCTAACTTACCCGTGACCCCAGGCTGACCAAGGCCGTCCACTACTACGAGTGGTTTGGTGCATGTCCTGCTGTTCATCATCATCTTTAGGATATTTTCCACACCTAGGGACTCACAGGCCTCTCCAGGTTGTAGACACTGCGAACAAAAGAGGCATTCAAGATTTACAGTTCAGTAAGAGTTCATATAAACAGTTGCTAAATTATAATTAATTTAATTAAATTATGCTAAATGCAACACATGTGTAACACAGAGAACCAGTTTAACCCTTTCATGCATGACGGTCACTACAGTGGACAGCTATTAAAATGTCATTTTCTATGATAAAGAATAGGTTTTGATGGCAGTTTTGCATATAAGCCTCCACAGTGGACGCCTGAGAATCACCCAACACTGTCATACAGTGGTCTTTATTAATTTTAATAGCTGTCCACTGTAGTGACCGTCATGCACGAAGAGGTTTGTCTCAAAACGTTTCCTGGACTGCTTAACACGAACTTGTTGTACAAATAGTAAAACAAGTAGTATTTACAATTGCATTGATTATTTCATTTTACATCAGATAAACCTTTTATCACAACAAAATCTGGAACATTTTTTTTTTCTATTTTTATCTTGATAGAAACAGGAGCTGCTAATCTACTGCAGTAGTTCGGTATGACATATATATGTATCTAAATAAATGATTTTAAATACCCAAGATATGTGTTATTTCGTTTGAACGTAACTGTAGAGGCAGTAAGATGTATCGTAGTCCTGAAGGGGTTTCAAAAAGCAGCATTTCTAGGTAATTGTGCTTTACAGTTCTCACTCTGTTTTAGAAAATGATTGAATTGCAACAAGTTTGACCAAGCTTGAGCTTATTTTCCTAAAAATAGGCAAAGAAGAGAAAGAATCAGGTTTTGAGACCTAGTGTAACAACACCCAGAAATGTAAAAGCGAATAAGCGAATAAATAGATACCATAACGTAGTAGCGACTATAATCCGCTACTTTTTTTCCACACGTTTTAAACCCTGCAATTTCAATAATGGCTAATTTATGGATTTTTTACGGACTTACGAGGCTCATACCGTTAGCAATCAATGACATTTCTGGGAGGCTACTGCGTGTTATGCTAGTAGCGTATGTCTGTCTGTGTTTGCAGTTTGAGCCCTGTCATGTTGAAGCGTGAGTTGGTTATACAGGAGCTGTTGTTCTGCGGTTGATAATAAAGACCCCAACTTCCCTGTTTCTGTTTACCTTTGCAAGCACAAAGTGAAGGGAGTTAGCCCTGGAGCTAATGTTAGCTTTGGCCCGCTGAGCAGATCACTAAGTCTCTCCTGTGCATTCCAACTACGGTCGGGGCGCCCAAGCAGGAAACTTACGGTAAGTAAATATTTTTGACTTAGCAGCTCACTTTTTTCAGTCCATGAGTGAGGGGTAGACAATCATTTTTATGTAATTAGTAAAAGTTTACCGATGGCAGTGTTTTGATGTTCTTAAGGCTTTTGGAGCACAGTGACATCTCACAGTGCAGGAATAGCAGGGACATGTTCAACTTCGAGTCAAAGTTGAAGCTGAAGCTTTTCTTCTCTTTCCGTGTTCGAGGGACAGAGAATTCCGTCTGAGGGTAGAGTGCGACTGAGTGGTCGGTTGGGCACACCGTCTCGATAAGAGTGTAATCTGATGAGATGCTAGGGTTAGAGTTGGGAGAAATATAGCACGAAATGATGGTGAACCCCAGATTTGGGTCAGTGGATGGCGATGTAACCTGATAGAAACATAAAGAAAAAAAAAAACGGAACCGTGAGAACACAATGACAGTTCAAGTCTCGAGATTGATACAAGGTTTTAACTGTCCATGGGAGGTACGAAATTTGACTGTAAAAAATCAAAAGGTAAAAAGACACATGAGGCAAATATTAACATAGCATACGTGTTAAAAACGTAATCGATTAGTTATCATAACTATCACACTTTATTTGACAAATTCATTACTATTGCGAGGAGGGCATTGACAGAAAAAAACATCTGTTGG